CCAGTCCAGTGCGGTGTGAGAGAGCCCAGTCCAGTCCGGTGTTTGACAGTCCCCGTGACTGTGCCCCTGTCTGTCTCCGCAGCACCTGGACTCCCTGTGGCGCAGTGTGCGCTGGATCACGGACGCGCTGCACTGCGTGCGCCACAAGGAGAGCGGGCGTGGCGCCCCCCTGGGCCGGGTCATGGAGGACCAGGAGAGGGGGGAGCCCCAGAGCCCCCACGGCAGCAGCAGCGTCCCGGACCGGGGGTCAGCGCCCGGGTCGACCTGCACAGGTACGCCCCCCCAGCTGGTCGCGACTGAAGCCACAGTGTCGCGGGGTGGACCGGAATGTGCAGGGAGTGTCATCTGGTGTCCTGGTGCAGAAACACTGACAGAAGCCCCCAGTCATGCCGGTGCACTTCACACAGAGAGCACACTGTTCACGTGGCCTGGCTGAGCAGGGTGATGGGCGTGGGGACTGGCCAGTCACGGCCCCGACTGCAAAGTGATGGGCGGGGTTTAACGAGCTGCTGAGCTATTGACCCTCTTCCTCTCTCCGTCAGACCGCCGGCCCAGTCTGGGGTTGGACAACGTGCTCTGGACGGGCAGCCGTGTGGCTCCGGACTGCTTCCATCCCAACAGCCCCGTGGACAGTGAGGGGTCCCTCAAGAGCAGCGGCCAATCAGGAGCCAGCAGGAGGAGCCCACCCGCGCGCAGGGACCAATCAGCGGCGCGGGCCTACGGCGTCGGCCAACCAGAGCCGAGGGCCGGCGGCTGTGTCACGGCGGGGGGCGGGACGGACTCCTGGCCGGGACTCGGGGAATCGGGGGTCGGACTCGGGCAGCAGGAGGTGCCGGAGGTTGGGGGCAGTCCGAGTGACCCCTCAGTCCTGGAGGACAGCGCCTGCGCTCCGTCGTGGCTGCGGCTCAGAGACTCTGCCCAGGAGGAGGAGCCGCCTCCCTGGGAGCTCCTGGACAGGGTCGGAGCCCCCCTGCCTCAGGACGGCCCCCCGGGGCGGGAGCCGACCCCCCTCCTGCCCCGCTGCGACAGCCGGGGCGACCCGCTGAGGCCACAGCCCACCAGGGGGCGCTGCCTGCCCGAGAGGAGCCTGGTGGAGTGGATCAGCTCGCCGCCGCAGTCCTGAGGCTCGCCGCCGGAGATCCGCGCGGGGGGGACTGGACAGCGCCCGGCTGCAGCGCTCGGGACCGGGCCGGAGCTCAGAACCCGTCGCTGTGCCTCTGCGCCTCTGTCCGTTTGAGCCCTTTGCTGTCACACCACTCTGTTGCCTTACTGTACATAAACTCACACTCACTCTGAAACAGAAGCGTCCGCTGTCTTCACTTACTGTACCAGCGCGGCGGTGTGTGTGTGTGTGTGTGTGTCAGTCATATGTATGTGAGTGTTTGTGTGTTTGTGTGTTTGTGTGAGTGTGAGTGTGAGTGTGAGCATGAGTGTGTGTGTGTGGTGTGTTTTTCACATGCAGCTGCTGCCCCCCTGTTCTCTTTCCCTCCTCGATCGTGGGCCACACGCTTGCGCAGAGAGCCAGCCCTCAAGGTGAATGAACGCTGCTTTTATTTAGAACGCGCAGAGCAGAGCGATCAAGCTAAGAGCCCCAAGTGCAAATGTAACAAGGAAGGGAGCATTCGTGACACTCAGACACGCCAACGTGCTGTTTCAGTTCTTCTCTCGTGCAGGAATGTCCATCCTTGGGTCACACCGACTCAGAAAGAAAGTGTTAAAATATAATCGAAAAGAAGAATGATTTAGTGAGGAACTGAACCCTCAACCGCAGGATAAGGACCATTGAGGCGATCGAGTCGTCTCGGGGGATGAAGGATGAAAGTGGAAGAGCAGGACTCGCTTTTTTAAAAACGCACACTTGGCAGAAACGATGCACATCGGTTATTGGCAGGGCAGTGAAAAAACGTCTCCTTCTCTGAAGATCAGCTGACATCTGCAGGAGGCTGTGAAAGACACAAGGCTTGTGGTCTGGACAAAATGACACTTTTTTTTTTTGCAATTGTAGATATCTGGCCCTGGCCTGTGGTCACTGTTTTGTTCCCTTGACCTGGCTGTAGAGAATTGTGAAACAGACACCTGCTGTTGTACGAGACGCCACAGAAACAGCAGAGAGGCTGGACAGTATCTTCAAGAGTAGCCACAGGGCCAGAAGTAGAACGTGGGCTCTTAAACCCCCATTCATGGGAATAACATGGCTGGGCTCAGACTTCAAAAACTGGTGCAGTTCGGGGCTCTGTGGGAAATACACCTGGTGTGTGTCTCCCTCAGTGGTCTCGGGAAGAGGCCATTTTCATGACAATTACTGTAAGCTCATCTCAAACCTTCACTGGACTGAGCCACTCCTTGCATCCCTACACTAATAAGCATAATCCTAGTGGGGAAACCAGCTACAGTTTGATTCCAGGACACGGATTAGAAAGCTGGGCGCCTGTGTCTCGGAGGCCCTGATATGTGATCTGAGGGCCGATAACTGCTGGTGATAGGAGATAGTACAGGTGGAACACACCCTTTATTTATTTCAGAGATTATATAGACAGTAATCTGATGAGACCAGATGAGAATCGTAAGGATCTTGTGTGTCGTCTTCTTTGTCCAAATCCTTGTCCTTTTGAGTTTCCACCCCCCCTTTGCCTTCAGCGTCGACGCCTTATCTCGGAATCTGCTCCTCGCTCCCTCATTTCTATACCCGTGCTGTGCGAATCATTCCTTAACAGTGTCTGCCTGCTGTCGTCTTCCTCTGTGTTTTGCATGAAACAAGGGAAACAGCAAAGGAACAGCATTGCCAGGTATCTTGCTTTCTCTTTCAGCCACCGCCAAAGCCTTGCTGCATGGCCTTCAGGCTCGTCACCACCTGAAGTGTGTCTGCCTGTCATTCTTAGCATATATAAAACAAGCATATTGAGTATCCTCTCTGCCTCGGTCCTGATTCGATTTTCTACCTCCTGGTACATTCTGTTTGTGTAGAAGGCGTCTTCGTTCTGCTGCACCATGGCCTCGATCTTCGCCAGCAGCTGCCTGACCTGGGTGCGGCTGCTCTTGTCCTCGTTGTCGAAGATGTGGTAACGGCCCCCACACTTCTCAATGAGGCCCGTCAGGTGATCGTTCCTCTCAAAGAACTCTTCGATCGTGGTCCCCTTCCCGAGACTGTCTCCGTGGGTGAACAGGACCAGAGCAAACCTCAGAGCCTTCTGGCCGAACAGCCTCAGGATTTCGCTCACCACTCGTTTCTCCTCTGGCGTTTGTCGCCCGACCTGTATGACCAGGAGGAATGCGTGTGGCCCGGGCGAGGACATCGCGATACATCTACCAATCTCACGCCTCAGTATGCCTTGAGGGAGCTCAGTGTCGAAGAAGCCCGGAGTGTCCACCACAGTCACCTTTCTGCCTTCCACGGTCCCTGTGCCCCACTGACATTCATGTGTTATTGACTTGGGACTGCATTCATGCTGAAACACATCCTGTTTCAGGATCGTGTTCCCTGTCCGGCTCTTCCCACAACCGGTTTTTCCCAGGAGCACAATCCTCAGGTCTCTGGGTTCGGACACTGCGAAAGAGAAAGACCTTTAGCTGGAGGCACTGAGTTCACATTCGCTCAGTTCAAATGAAGCAAAACTATGCTCAGGTACAGTTATCTAATCTACTAGCTGGGCAGGAGAGGGAACAAGAACTGAGATAAGGACTAGAATTTCTCAAGTTTTCCTCTATCAGCTCTTTGACCCTTATTAGTACTGTCTGAACAAAACATATCTCATTTTACATTTCTGTTGCTGAACAGAGAGAAGGAGCCCCAGGGAAATGTGTTGTATTGAATACTTTGGTTGGGTTTAGCCTGAGATTTCTAGAATTTTTCTTGAAGAAGTAGCATCATTGTTAGACCTGACAGCGCTAAACAATTGTAGTACATTCAACCCTGCACCAGTGGGAAAGGGAGACTTTGCATGAGAATCGTGGGATTGTATGAATTTAGGAACAAATCTGTTCAGTCAAATAGTGAAATTTTGTACTGTATGGCATCAACTTTTGTCTGCTGGGTGGCATGGTGCCACAGTGGTCAGCAATGCTGCCTTGCAGCACTGGGACCCTGGGATCAATTCTGGACTGGGGGTGCTGTCTGTGTGGAGTTTGCATGTTCTCATGGTTTGCCTCCGGGTTCTCCTGTTTCCCGCCTATAGCCCAAAGGTCCACTTAATTAGCTTGACATGTTGACATGGCCTTGTTTGCTATTGAACTTACACTCGATTGGTGAATCAGGGGTCCTGGAGTGGAGTCCTCCTCCGTTCTCCCTCACCAGGGCCTCAATCTTGTCCAGCAGCTGGGCGACCTGGCTGCGGTCAGCAGTGTTCTTGTTGCAGAAGACGTGCGTGCGTCCCCCGCACTGCTCCACGAGCGACTGCAGCTCCCTGCTCTGGCTCTGAACGTACTCCTGGAGAGTCTCCCCCTCCAGATCCTCTCCCCGGGTGAACAGCACTATCGTGTAGCGCAGGGCCTGCGGTCCGAAGAGATCCTGGATCATCTCCTGCGCTCCCCGATGTGTGTCTCTGGCGTCCCCTACTGGGAGCACCAGGAGGAGCGCGTGGACTTCCTGAGCCCTCAGGAAAACACCCCGAATATTCTGAAGCGTGTGCTCCTCATTGAGGAGCTGTGTGTCAGGGGTGTCCAGCACACACACCGGCCTCCCCGCAACCTCCCCTGTGCCCAGCTCACACTCCCTGGTCACCAGCTCGGCCCGCGGTTTGGACCTGAAGTGCCCAGGGCCCAGGATGGTGTTTCCAGAGGCACTCTTTCCCACTCCAGTCCTCCCCAGGAGGAATATTTTCAGCCCCGATGGATCCTGTAGGGCCGCGTCAGTGAAACATGTGGGAAAGTGGGCTTCTATATCAATACCTGAGACGGAAAGAACACAGGAGTTAGGAATTAGAGCAGATAGCCTTCAGGGAAGGAGAGTTTCCAGGTATTAGAACATCTTAATGAGCTTTGTGTAAATTCCTACCTAATGCTTAAAGACATTTTATGTCTTGTGCATAACTAACCCGTTTTAAATTTAACCCAGTTGCTGCATTTAATGTGAGATCTCCTGAGCCTGCAGAAGCAGGCAGAGCAGGTGTCAGAGTGTGTCTGTGTTGTAATGGAGACTGAAATGCCCCCACTGGCTACCCACTGCTGTAATCACTGAGCTACTGGAGCAGTGCTGTCTGTGCATTTTCAATTCCCAATTCAACACAGCTGCGTTGTCTCCTGCTTCACACCCCTCCTTCGTTTTCCTCTAAATTTCAAGACAGTCCGGTCGAGGCTGCAGGAGGGAGAAACTCTGCACATTGATACCATGGAGGTGGAGTGAAGAGACAAGCAAGAGAGAGAGGGATCTCGCAGATATTTATAGCGTTTGGGAGAGGAGTGTATTGTCAGGAGCGATTGCTAATTACTGACAGCTGAGTCTGATTGAGCTCGGTTGTTGTCATCCCTCCCAAACTGTCGTTATGAACTCCATTTAAAAGGTAGTGTATCACAGTAAAAAGCATTTCCTTCTACCATATTTTCAAAAAACTGACTGACTGCACCTGCTGTTATATTTTCTACAACCGTTAAAAGTTTCCTGTGAAACGTGTTCTACAGAGGATGTGGTTAAGCGCACATTGTCATTTTAGCATCATTTCTCACACTACACAGGAGTTTCCAGGTACACCTTAATCTGTCTTCCTCTTCCCTCTAACATTCAGTATCAGACGTAAAAAATTTATTTCCATTTTAGGGCAAGGGCTACCAAACGTTTACAGCACAAATTCAGTTCTGAAATTGTTTTTTAAGTCTATTAACGTTTACCAATAGCAATTTTCTTAAGAATGTGTGTCAGTGTTAGAAAGCGTTTAAGAGCACTGATTATAACAC